TTTCCCTGTGGGGGTTTTGCTCCGCTTTGCCCTGGGCTGGAGCGATTAGTGCTGGGTAGTGCCAGCCAGGTCCCAGCCCTTCCCAGGGTGGCAGCTCTTTGCGCTCCTCCCTCGAGCTTCTCCCATGGCTTTTGTGTCTGACCTCTGGCCTCAGCGCTCCCAGTCTGGTGCTACAGAGCCGCTGGCACCTTCAGATGGTGCTGTGAGTTTGAGCATTATGTTCGCTGTCAAGGACGTGACATGCCATGACTCAGCTCCAGGCAGCCCTTAACTTTTGGAAAACAATTTCAGAAAGTTTATCACAGGCACTGCAAACAGTCCTGGAAGGACTGGGAGGCTGCATGGGGCTCCGTGAGCCAGCACAAGGCACGGATGACGGGTTTGACTGAGCTGTGGTCCAGCTGAGCTGGTTAACCTCCTGACTTCTTGTGGACACATCTGGTATGGAGCTATCAGGGACACTGTTATGCTTCAAGCCGCCTCACTATAAGAAGGGCATTGAGGCACTGGAGCGTGTCCAGAGACAGGCAAACAACGCTGGTGAAGGGTTTAGAGCACAAGTCTTATGAGGAGTGTCTGAGGGAACTGGAATTGTTTAGCCTGGAAGAGGAGGCTGAGGGGGAGACCTTATGGCCCTCAACAACTGCCTGAAAGAAGGCTGTAGTGAGGTCGGGGTCGGTCTCGCCTCCTAAGTAACAAGAGGAAATGGTCCCAAGTTGTGCCAGGGGAGGCTTAGATTAGATATTAGGAAAAATTTTTTCACTGAAAGAGTTGTCAGGTATTGAAATGGGCTGCCCAGGGAACTGGTCGAGTCACCATCCCTGAAGGTATTTAAAAGATGGGTAGATGAGGTGCTTAGAGGCATGGTTTAGCAGTGGACAGGTTATGGTTGGACTCGATGATCTTAAAGGTGTTTTCCAATGAAATTACTATGATTCTAAAGCTTGAAAAGCAAGCAAGTCCTTTGCCTGGTTGTGCATCCCTGTGAAAGAGCTCCCTGCTGGCTACAGCACTTCCCAGGCTGACCAGCTATAGCAGGGAGGCCTTTCTGCTTTTGGCTCTGTTGGTTTGAGTCCCCACTCAGACAAGCAAATGGTTGACTATAACTGGAGATGGATCAAATTAATCCTGTTTTAGCTGCCAGTGCATCTAGGATTTATGCATAAACAGACTGTCTCATAACTCCTGGCTGCATAGAAAGGTAAAAGCAGGGCACAAAGGGGAGTTGGCAGATGAAGGTAAAAAAATGTAATGCTCTAAATGAACTTTGCTCAGTGTGCTAAAGTGAATGTTAAAATGGTTGTTTAGAATTTGTAAATCTTGAGAGGAAAACTCAGAAAAGCTGGATTGGAGGTGATATGTAGTCATCTCAGTTTTGTTTCTGCACCAGTCACTCGGCAAGTGGATGTCCAGTTCATACAGAAATGGAAGAACATTGTTGTGTCTTGTTCTGGTCCCTGCCAGCCCAGAGTGGGTGCAGGTCTGGGGAGAGCAGGGGGTGGGGGGAAGGTG